GTTTAAATACATTTAATATGAAACTGTAACTAAACAAATCTTGAGATTTTGGTTAGATCCAAAAAAACAAAAAAGAATCAAAAGATCCCCACTGCACAGTAAAGCTGCCCATGAACTGACCTCTAGAAAGTTCCCCTTCAGGTAGTTGACAGTGATCCAGCCATAAAGGCCTTCTTCCTGTCCAGAGATAATGGAAGCATTTTGAAAATTGAAAGGAAGAGAGCTAAGGTAGGTCCTGACGTATTTCAGAATAGCGTTGGAAGTCTCCTCATCTTTCATACTGTGTAAAAAAAGATATTGCAAAGATATGGCATGCATCGTGTCAGTGTCAGGTTAACTTTGTGGCAACTATATATTTAGATATTTTATTTGTTGATTGATTGAAAATTTATTGTTATTTGAGAAATAACATAATTTGAACACTTTGAACATCATTTTAACACTCTGAACGTGCATAAGGCCATTTGTCTTTTATCTAAAATTATGTTAGTTATATTATATTCTATTATCTAACACTGAACTCTCAGTATGACAGTAAATGGCTCAACTGATACATATAGCAATAGAGATAAGAACATACATAGAAAATATTACCAAAAAAAAAAAGGAATGGAATTTGTTTAAATCATTCTTACTGTAGAAGCCTCATCCCTGCTGTTGCCCCAAGGAAGACTGGGGTCGAGTTATGCCGATGGGAAGGAATGACCTCAGTTATCTTTGCTATGCAATCTTTTAAACTTTTCAATGTCTTTTCGTCCTGATCCCCATTTTTACCAAGATCTGAAATTCCAGGGCCTTGAAAAGACACATTTTATTATTACATTACTTTCTGTAATATATAAAATGTTTAAGTTGCATTATTATGGTATCACTGCCTATGTTAAACGAGTAGTAAAGAACTATACTTATTATAATTTTTTGTATCTTTTTAAAATAATTACTAATATACCAACATTTTTTTTTTACTTTTCCTATTTCAATAAATGTTGTGAAAGAACCGTCAACCTGCAAACTGTGAGAGTATTATGTTGTATTATTTGTTAAATAGTGATTAAATAGTGAAGGTCAAGATCTCAGCATATACACATTTGATGTATAAAACATGCTTTTCACAATTTATCCTATTATTATTATTATTATTATTATTATATTTTATTTTTTACATCATGGGACACCTAACTTGGGCAGGATTCATGGAAAGTTCCACTTATACAGTATCTCTGAGCTATTCACTGTAAAGAATAAGCCATGTCTTTACAAAAACCTTCCGAGGTTTTAGGTCAGTTGATTTGTACCTTCAACCTGACACTTTGTGGTCTCACTCACAACCCCAGTGTTGTTTTCTTTCTCGGCAGGCCACTCATAGAGATACACAGTGGTCCTGGAGGAGCCTGCATCCAAAACAATACCATACTGGAGAGAGAGAGAAAGAGAGAGAGCAACAGAAGTGAAGAAAGACATTGTTACAGTAACCATGTCACCACCAAATTCTCAAGATCTTGCAAAGCCATAAAGAGCTTATTCATTTGCACTCTTCGCAAAATGCATTGATGAATAGCAATTTGCCATGGTCTAAATCATGACTGAGTCAAGCATTCAAGAACAGACATGTCTAATTGCCTGAAACCCTTTTGGAAGAAACTAACAAAAGCACATTCTTCCGTTGGGAAAATATTCAAGGATTGACTTTATGAGCCATCAAAAGGATCATCTATCTTAATATTAAGGATGCAGCATTGGAATTAAATAACTCCATCAATGGTGATTATCCACTGAAAGTTGTTTTTGTGTGTAGAAAAATAGGTTCCTCTTCAGGAACTCGAGCTGCGTCGAAAACGCTAGGGGAACGCCGTTCAGCGTGACGGGCTCTGAATCTCGTGTGTAATCAGACTAACAGCTGGGCGAGACGTCACGGCGGGTGACGTAATGACCAGGAGGCTATAAAAGCACGTGCGGTGAGACCACGAGACGCTGCGTCTCGGTGCCATACTTCCGGCGTCCCTGCCAGCGCTTGCTTCATTCCTAGGAGCTGACGTTGGTCTCACCGCACGTGCTTTTATAGCCTCCTGGTCATTACGTCACCCGCCGTGACGTCTCGCCCAGCTGTCTGTCTGATTACACACGAGATTCAGAGCCCGTCCCGCTGAACGGCGTTCCCCTAGCGTTTTCGACGCAGCGTCTCGTTCCCTCGAGGAACTAGGGTTACATACGTAACCCGAGACGTTTCCGGTGAGTGTTGTAAAAAAAAAAAAAGTATTTGTTTTCACTAAAAGTAATAGGAATCCCATATATTATATATTATTAAACAAATAATATTATATATTTTTAAATAACAAATGAATAAGTTAAGGAAAAGTCATTCTTGAACATGACTGGTAAGCACCAATTATACTTTTATGCCTCATAATTTTATACACTCTAAAGGGAATCCAGTTTATTAGTCAGTTTAATAGGTTCCCACTTGTATCATGCATGCTCAAATGACATAATTTTACCTTTAATCCACGGGATATATAAGTCTTCTTATGAGTTTGTACAACTGCTATAGATATGATGACTGCTATGCTGGCCAGCATAAAGGCGGCGGCCAAAGCTATTGCCACTTTTGCCATCCTCACCTACAGACAAAAAGATGAATATATCAAATTTCCAGCTTGATTCTCATGCAACTAATAGCTGAACACTATTTATAATAGAAGATCAAGTAGAAAAAAACTGTTCTTCAGGAAAAAAAAAAAACTTTAAAGGGGTCATATGATGCGATTTCAAGTTTTCCTTTCTCTTTGGAGTGTTACAAGCTGATTGTGCATAGATAAGATCCCTGAAGTTGCAAAGACTAAAGTCTCAAATCCAAAGAGATATTCTTTATCCCACCAGCTGGGCTAATTCTTTATCCCCCCTAAAACGGCTCGTTCTAACACACCCCACATATCTAC